TCTGCCTAGAATCCCTGTAGCCTGGACTCCTAAAATCCTCAATAGCACATGGAGCGCCACCCTAGCATCACTACTGAGATCAGTTCTTGGCTCTGTGTTGTCAAGAATAGCTTTAACAGCTTAATGGAATTGCTTTATCTTATTCTTCCTACCTCTCACATTTTCAATGAGAACCAAGGTCCACATAGGTTATGTATCCAGGAAATTTGGAGGGTCATGGTTTGTTTGGAATCCATATACAGCTCAGACCCTGGCACACACACTGTTACTGTCCTGAATGTATGCATCTTCCCAAAGTTGGGACAAGAAGAACAAGCACAAGTTAGTGTTGCATGGCTAAACGTTTGCCTTTGGTTACTTCTTGTCTCAATACAAAACTCCTTGTGGAACTGAATGAATTACTTGGGATGCCACACTTCTCTTCCTCAACTTTTGCATGCAGGAGTCATTACAATGAAGCTGCCCCATGTTGCAAAGACAATGAAAAGAGAGAAAAAGAATCTAAAGAAAAATACCAACAGTTATTAGGAGTGCATGAATTTACTCCTGGAAGTACTAAGACATAAAATAAATCTGACATCATTTTATTTTTAGTGACTTTTATTTTAGATTCTATTAACAGTTTTTAAGTCTCAAGTATAGCTACAATGTGTTTTTTGACAAACTTGAATATTTTGAACATTCATTGGCCTATGAATTTTGTAAGCAGCATTCATATATTCATGGCTACTTATTTATTTGCTGGGAGCAATTCTTGATTTTTTTCCTCAGGAAACTAATGACAATGAAAACATATACTTAAAAATTGATGGCTCTAAATTAAATTTTAAACCCTGGTCAATTAGTGACCATCCTTAATTTGCTACCCTCCTTTTTCATTACTTCCATTAACGTTTGGTGAATTTGCTAGTGTGGACAGCTTTATTTACATATGCATTTAATTTCCACTCTTACAAAACTATCAAAATTCTACAAAATCATGCTAAACATTAATGATAGCAAAATGTGGCAATTTGAATTTAGAAATAACTCACAGATTTCTTTTACTGTTTACACAGAAAGAAGAGACAAAATAGTAAAGTGAGATTCTCCTGTTTCCACCCAAATTATGTGCACAGATTTGTGTTCACATATGCTTTCTTTTATTTAATGCTAATTTATATATTCTGACTAGTCAGCATGTCAATAGGTAAAATAATTTCAGTAACTATGTAACTAGTAGCTTCAGTGATGTAACATTTTATAATTAGTATAAACACTAGCCAATATGAAAAGGAGTGTGAGCTTGCTTTAAACTTTTACTGAATGTTATCCTAGTGTCAAATACCATTTTCAGTCTGGGTGGTGGTGGTACACGCCTTCAATATCAGCACTCAGGTGGCAGAAGCAGGCAAATCTCTATGATTTCAGGGCCAGCCTGGTCTACACAGTGAGTTCCAGAACTGCCAGGGCTATGGAGAGAAACCCTGTCTCAAAACCAAAATTACCATTTTTAATGGATACAATGTCATAAGTAGTGATTTTGAGGATAAAATGTATAAAACTTAACATCACACTTAAAATTATGTAGTTTAGAATGAAATGTGTTCAACATGAATTAGAAAAAAGAGAAACTCTGTAACTGTTCTTTTTTGTAATGCTAAAAAATGTGTGTTGAGAAACCAGTTGCCAATATATTTTAAATTTACATAAAAATCAGCCACTGTAAAAACATTAATAGCAAATCACAGATAATCCATACCAAACATCTGCAATACTATATCCATAAAAATATTCACAATGTATTTATATTTTAATGGGTGAAAAATAATGAAAAACTGATTTCAAATGTTAAAGAAGACTAATTTCTTAATTGAATGTATTAAAACTTGTTACAAATGGAAGGTTTTGTGTGACTACCCAATTAATTTGACAAAACCTATTCTAACCCCTTAACAGATACACAATGCTCTACATTGTATGCCTGAGCACTGTTTGGAATCTTTCATAGAGATTAAAAGTAACTCTCTAAACTAAGTTAAATGATTAAACAAGGATGTAGGGAACTGTCAGCCTTGTACTTAGTTTCTTAGGTCCCTTAGACAAATGTGTGCAATGATTCTCTCCTATAGGATGCTGTAGGATGCATCACAGTGTGAAAACATTCTGAGGAAGTTCTGTATAATTTTATCTTTGTTTTTCTTGTTCTTGTAGCTTTGTTTCTTCTCTCCCTCTTTATATCCCTCATTTTCTATGTCTCTTCATCTCTCTAGGGATGTTTAAATTTTTTAACTGGGCAAGAAATTAATAAGATGTATTTGATTACTATTTATATCAATGTTTTTGTGTTACTTTTGAATTTCAAATGCAAATTGATGAAGTATGTTTTTATGTATTTCCTTCAATGTTTCCCTCAGAATCTTCTAAGTGAAACCCCTCTTTACTTATGTAGTTCAGCTTTTTTTTCCTCTGCAAAGATAATATGTCATCTTCTTAGAACAATATTATGTGAGAATGTGCCAGGAGCACTTGTGTTTACCAAGTGCTTTAGAAACAAAAAATAGATTTCTAATCCTTTCTAGGCTAGTTGCAACCAGCTCAAAACAAGTATGCTTTAAAATGATAAGCCTGGGCTATTTTACTGATCAATGCACAGTATATTTCACATTGTATATTAGAATATTAAGGAGGAAGTGATATCAATGTTGTTATTTACAGATGAAATAATGGAGGTTCAAAGGATCACTTCCACAATTAGGGAAGTTAGTGACAATAGAAAAAGCTGATGAAACTCACTCTTTGAATGCTGTTTCATTCATACTGAACACCTGGTGGGCAGGTATTAAAAGCCTAGTGTTCCTTGTAACTTGGGACCCTGCCAAACACATTAAGGATTGTATTTAAGAGACACAGTACATACTGTGCCCTGGTCATCTGCTCAAACAAGTGCTAGGGTATCAAGTAGCTAATTGCATGTCAGGATATATTTCATTAAAAGGAAACCTCAAATTTGTGTAGAGACAAATTATGACAAACCAAAACTGTATAAGAAGATAAATGTGGCAACTGGTATTAAGAGTTGAATCATTAGCTGTCTTATTGGGCAATTCAGATTGAATAAATATAAGTAATTGGAGTATGGTAAATTAATTTTTCTGTTAATAGTCTTCATGTTTTTATAATGAGAAATGTGACATATTTATATATATATTTCAAATAACTTTTCAAGATCTGTGGTTATTGTACATACAAAGTGGGATGTAAGAAAGACGGGCTGCCTGTTCTCTGTGAACCTGAAGTTCAAGCTAAGCAACTGAGGTGGGAGAATCATGGGAGCACAAGATTCCAAAGATGTCCATAAATCAAGGTGAATGCTAATCTATGCAAACGCAAGTGATTTCTTAAATAAGCAGCCCACATATGTTTTCAATCCTATGACATTTTATAAAGACCTATAAATTGCTTCTGATGCAATGTAGGATAAGTCTGAGCACCTCAAAATATAAACTGAATTCTGTTTTATGGATAAAGATTCTGACTCCCTCATAATAAGATGTTTTGACAAAACCTTCATTACTAATTATCATCACTTTTACAAAGAACTACGTGACAAACAAAAGGTAAAATGCTTGCACTGAATTCCAAATCATAGTTAATCCATTTGAATTTGTGTTGGTGTGTATGTATTCATGTATACCTGAATTCCTATATTTAGATGGGGATACATGTTGAATTAGAAGCTAGAGAAAAGGTATGGAGGCAAATGAGAAAATGTTCTCCATGGTTTTCTGATTTGTTAAGTGATTAAATCACCCCTGATTGCAGTAACAACTATCCCCTCCAGAGTACACTCAAAATTCTTACAGAATCGTTTGCCAGTGCAAAAATAGCCGTGTGTCAATGTTGCCGTCTGCTCGTTGGATCAGAACTAGTGGCTGTGTGCCTTTGAGAATATTTTGATAAAAAGAGTTTGGCATAGACCTCCGTGAAAGAGTCTTATTAACACCAGTGAGCCACCTTCATAGGCTGTAAACAGTAGATCAGAAATGGAGCTCTATTCCCTGCTTTCTTTTCCATCTTTCCTCTTGTCTTCCTTCTCTGTTTCATCTGTTTCATATTTCTCTTGATCTGGCTTTGTGACACTGTCATACGAAGGTGGAGAGATGGCAGAGGCAGTTGCATCTGTCTTTTCTGGACTTGAGTTCTCGTTAACGTTATCAAAAACTATATCTTCTTTATTGGGCAAGTCATCATCCCTATCTCCATCTTTTATGTATATACTTGATATGTTCTTGACGTTTTGTCGAAGGCGGTACCTTCTGTAAGCACGCTGAATGATAGTAGCAGATACATCCTCTTGTTTTCGTTTTAGTGTGGTTGTAATAGGTTCATAGGACACTTTAGAAGGATTTGCAGACATAAACCTTTCTTCCATCTGCGAACGAAGAGAATCCATCTCTCCACTCTCACCCAGTACCCGCTTTGTAAAAGCAAATAAGATGTCCAGGCAGTGGATGCGGTCTCCACTCACCATGGGCAGATCCATGGCAATGAGCTGGACTTTGTTTGGCTTTGCGATGAGAAGGGGAGGATCCAGGGCAGCCGCAAAGTCCGACAGCTTGCAGAACTCTATGAACTGAGTGGCATCAGGGTCGAACTTCTCCCAGACCTCATAGAACATCTCAAAGTCGTCCTCACTCAGGGGTTCAGTACTTTCTTCAGTGGCAACGCTGAAGTTCTCCAGGATGACAGCGATGTACATGTTTACCACAACCAGGAAGGATATGATGATGTAGCTGACAAAGTAGAAAATCCCCACAGACGGGTTCCCACAGTCTCCTTCCACTGAACTTCCTGGATGAATTTTTTTTGGGTCACAGTCTGGAGGGGCACTGTTGAGGATAGGAGCCAGCAGCCCATCCCAGCCTGCGGAAGTGGTGATTTGGAACAGGCAGATCATGCTGTTGCCAAAGGTCTCAAAGTTGAACATGTCATTAATTCCAGCTTCCTTCTTAACATAGGCAAAGTTGGACATCCCAAAGATGGCGTAGATGAACATGACCAGGAAAAGCAGGAGGCCGATGTTGAACAGCGCGGGGAGAGACATCATCAGAGCAAAGAGCAGGGTGCGGATCCCCTTGGCGCCTTTGATCAGGCGTAGGATCCGGCCGATCCTGGCCAGGCGGATGACTCGGAAGAGGGTAGGAGACACAAAATACTTCTCTATCATCTCGGCGAGAAACATTCCTATGTGGGAGGGAAAAATAAATGGAAATATTTATATATCCATGTGGCACAATGTCATGAATTTAAATATCTTCATATGCCATGCCATCTTAAACTCAGAATTGCTGTCCTATCTTAAATTCAATATTTTAACAAATAACTGCTGTGACATTTTTCCATCTTAACTAAACTCATGGACACATTCCTCTTTATTTTTGTCTGTAAGATGTTTTTCATTGTCTTGAGAGTAAAGTTGTGTTGTGAATAGAAAGGATTATGCATGCTCATGTTCAAAACTTTATTTACAGGACTCAAGATGGAGCTTAGTGCTAAAGCCATCCATAAACTAGGTCTTGCTCGTAAAAATCAAGAAGAAGAAATAAAGGGGGGGGCGACAATAAAAAAATTGTTAAAAAGTTACACAAATTTTCTAACTTTTTTTTTAAAAGATCAGGTTTGACGATGTAAGCCTTGCCCTTGGCTGAACTGGAAATTGCATGTAGACAACGACTGGCCTGGAAATCAAAGAGCTCTGCCTGCCTGTGTCTCTCCGGTGCTGAGATTAAAGGTGTGCACCTCTCCGGCTGCCCCATATTTTAAATACCATCCTTTGATTTGTATGGCTATCAAACTGAGTAAATTACTAATTGGATATTAAAATTTCCTGTTTGGTTTCTCTGAATCCCTTGAACTTTAATCTTTAAGCACTGGCACAGCTATTAGCACTGCTGTGTTTTCAGTAGTTTTATGGAAATTATAAATTTATTTAAAAAAACTAGTCACTGAGACTGGTGTGGTTGCTCAGAGATTTTGAACTCTTACTGCTCTTGCAGAGGACCTGAGTTTGGTTCCCAGCATCTATATCTGGTGACTCACAGCTGACAGTAACTTCAGCTACAGGGGTTCTGATACCCTCTTCTGTCTTAGGTGGGTACACACACACACACACACACACACACACACACACACACACACACGACATACACTCATACAGATACAGACTCATGTTAGTAAAAATAAATTAAAGTCTTCAGAAAGTCATAATTTCAATGACAGTCTTTGTAACCAAGCATAAGATAATCATTCATTTATTTCAGTCTTTTTTGTCCTTTAATTGTTTCACAGAAGTCTTCTACAATATACAGTAAGTTTATTCTAGATATTTTAATCTTTTTAATATAATCTTGAATTAAAACTTTGTTCAATATATTTTCTATTTTTTGGTCAACATTTCAGAAAATTACCAATGTTGGTAGGTACAATTTATAGTCTTACTTTTCTGAACTCCAATTGACTTTTAAAAAGTTAGAGTTTAAAGAAAAAAGTTTTGAGACTGACTAGGTAGCCTAGAATGGTCTAGAACTCCATATCCTCCAGGGAAAGCCTCCTTAATTACTGGATTACAGACAGGTAGTTCTGGATTTTACAACATTTAGCTTTTATGACTCTGTTTGATCAGCTATGAGTTTAATTCCACAATTTCTTCTATCAAGAGATTTCAATGCTAAAAATTAAATGTAATTTTCAAATGTAGAGATAGAGAACAGGAAAGAGATGGTGGTGAAAGGAGAGGACATATAAAATATGTGTTATACAGACATGAGCTGTTAGCTGACAAATAAATAAACTTTATAGACTGATTAAGTTTTAAGATGTAAGGGATGAAAATGGCAGTTTTGACATTTTAAATTTGGAATGCATTTAACAGTAAAAAATATGCTGACATCCCTGGACCTTTTAAAACTAAAATTAATAGTGCATTCTTCATTAGATCCCAGGATGCATCTATAGATAGATATCCATTTGCAGGCTTCTAGAAGCAGACATGTAGACTAATCTCAACAGGAATTCTTTCTGACAGATCCAACATTTGACTTCCAGGGCTTGGGCTTGGGCTTGGACTTGAGATTCTGACATGGAAATTTGCTTTCTTTCTAAATCTCTTCCATTCTTTCATGCTAGTAACACTGGAAAGTAAAACAGATTCCAAGCATGTGGACACTTCTTTGAGCAGTATGTAGTTTATCCATAATTAAAATTTGATTAATTAATGGCCTTACCTACAATGGAGAGGATCACTACCACAAAATCAAAGATGTTCCATCCCACAGTGAAGTAGTAATGTCTGAGAGAGATCAACTTCAGTACGCACTCCCCAGTGAACAGGATAATGAAGACCATGTTGATCCAATACAAAACATCAGTCATGTACTGACTTTGACCTTCTTTTTCCACCATCATAGTTACCATGTTGAGGCAAATAAGAACCATGATAGTGATATCGAAAGCTTGATTTGTCACTAAGTCAAATATACATCCTTGGAATTTGTTCTGCAAATCAAACAAAAAAAAAATGATACAGGATGTGGAATAAAATTCCCAAGTGTTATCTGCATATTAAAATATACAAAAGATCTGGAAGGAGTTGGGGGAGGGAAAACATGATCAAAATATAATGTACAAAGATTAAATGAATAAATTTTATAAAAAGAGTAGAAATATATTACAGATTTAAAATGAATCGGCAATGAACACAGGAGAATATTACACCTGTGAGTGTGTGCATGTATGGACATGCACACACACACACGCACGCACACACACACACACACACACACGAACATGCACGCACACAAGCGCATGTGTGCACACATCTATTACATATTTACCCCTGGTCTAGGAATTGGTTTTTGTGGTTTCTTAGATCCCAGCTTCTTCATTGCATTATAGTATTTCTTCTGTTCTTCTGTCATAAAGATGTCTTGACCTCCAAGGTAAAGGAATAAAAGAGAAATCCACTTAAAACCAGAATCAATATGCAGTTCTTTCTTATGATTCATAAAAGGGTTAAATTTTTAAACATAAAGATGAAATTCACTTTGTTATTTACCTAGGAACTATATATAAGATGCCTAAAAGGAATACTAACATATAAACATGGTCATAATGTAATTCACATATGTAATATTTGCGTATGTAATAATTACATATAATAATGATTACCTTTCCATATACTAACCTGTGCTATGTTAGCCTGTTTGCTGAGGTGTTATTTACTCTGCTAGTTTTATAACTAGAAAATATTTCTGTTAAATAACAGATAGATTGGGAAGATGTAAAAATGCCTTTCATGCTTTTGCTGATGTTTAGCACTCTATTCAGAAGTAGATTTCTACAATAACAATTAACATTGTATCAATTTTCTGTTAATTTATATTTATTTCTCCATGCCACCATTTCATTAATGGAGAAAAAATAACAGAGAATTCTAGAAAACTGTCTAACAATGTGAGCATCCTTGTGTATGTACTTCAAATTTTACACGAAATTACCTTCATCTTGTCTAAGAAGCACCATTGGTTGTCTTTTTGTTTTGGCATTTGTCTCAAATCCACAATATCTGATATGCATGTTAATATTTAAAAATCTAAGAAAATATAACATATGATTTATTTGGGGCTCCATAATTTTGAGTGAAGTGTGTTTTAGTATAGTTGCAATGAACCTTCCTCATAAGGTTGTAGTTGTTAAAAAACTGGGTGGGAGTGGGTTGGGGGGCTCATGGGGGGTATGGAAAGATGGAAGGGATAGGGAACGGGGGTATTGATATGCAAAATAAGATTGTTTCTAAAAAAGAAGGAAGTGGAAAAAATGACACCAAATAAAGAAGAGCAAGTCTGCGAGTAAAAAAAAAAGGGTTGACAGTACTTAGAGTTCATACACAGATGCCCCATCCATATTCAGCAACTGCTTCTTCTTAGTGTTCCATTCTACATCATGAACTTATTCACAGCTTACTTGCTCACCTCTAGTCGTATGCCTATGACTAACTAAAAAATTGAAATATCACAGGAACTTTTTGATGATAAAGAGAGTCCTAAGAGAGATGATGGATTGTTGAGAGAACTGGAAAAATGGGAGTGTGTTTTACCAGGGATGGGGAGAGTCATAAACTGAAAGTAAAATATTTACATTTAAAGTATTTAAGAGGCTATATTGAATTTTGGATAACGTATAGATTTTTAACCAGACTGACTTCTTGTGCTTGTGGTAGTGAATTTTGTGCACTACTAACATGCCAATGCATGCACATATGTATCTATACATTCCAAGCTGGAATTTGAGATAATTTTCTCTGGTAATCTTTTAATTCCTCAAGAGTATCTTTTCCTGTAGGTGGTACTCAAACCATAGTAACTCAGTTAATTGTCAAGAAACTTAAGACATAGATTCTATTCTCTTGCAGTCCACAACAGCCATGTAGTCATTATTGGATAAAATGTCTCAGTTGAATATGTTACCTTTTTCTATTATCTATTGTTATGGTGGGATATTTTGGATATTATAGGAGCAGTTCAGGTGACAGAGTCTCAGATCAGATTAAACAGGTACTAAACTAACCTGAATCTTCCCAGTTACAGACAATTTTAATGAAACCCCAGTTTTGTAACCTGTGATTGAAGTAACTCTGGGTCTTGGTTTATGATGAAGCTACTCTATAAGGTCAAATTTTGTAAAACCTCTCTAACTAGAGATCATCTCTCTAGATTACACAGTTGAAGCATTTATTCAGTGTCAGACATAACAAAATCCCAATAATATTAGTATCCTGCTTGCATGTTATTCTTTAAATGCCCTATGACGCATGAACAATATTAAATTAATAAGAATTTTTAAATCTACATTCCCAAAGCTAAGAAAATCATGAATACTTTTATTTCTACCTATTATCTACCTTCAAAGGATATATCAAATACCACACACAACTGCATCTCTTTTTCTGACTGTCCCTGTGCAGTTTTGTGAATATCTTCTCATTGCACTTTTTACTATTTCATATATTCAGGTTCTGAAGCTACAGTGTAAAGGATGGAATAGAAGAGTAGTTTAAATATTCAATAGGTAGCACATGTATTACTGATTCCATTTAGTCTCTATTACTTGTTAGGTGTCTAATTTAGGGTCAGGTACTCAT